AAGAGAGAGAGAGAGAGAGAGAGAGAGAGTAAACCACACAGATTTACAAGTTATTTACAATCAATCGTATATTTAGAATAAAAAGGATTGATATGCGACAATCAATTAATTAATTTTTCACCGTTAATTAACGATAAAATAAAAAATTTAAAAAAATTATTCGTTTCGGAAAAAAAAAGAGAAAATTTATTTTCCATCGTTTGAACAACACAAACAAAATGCAAATTAAAGACCCGATGAAGATATTTAATTAGTATTTCCATATATGAAAAAAAAGAATCGAAAAATTATTTTTAAGAAAAAACGATTCGATTTAATAGAACATTTATTTAATTTATATAAATAACGATTTTAGTTTTTTTATTTTTTACACCAAAAAAAAAAAAAAAACAATTATGGCTTACGAAGTCACGTGGCCGCGAATCGAGTAGAATTTACGATTTTGTATTTCTCTGAAAATAAAAAAAAAAAAAAAAAAAAAAACAGACAAAACAAATTATTGTTATTATTATTATTGTTAATAATTTACATAATTAATGTACTCGAAGAGACAATTTTTATTATTATTATTATTATTCGCAAGAGTATTAAATTTTTTTTTTTATTTTCTACCGCCATATTTTCAGTGTTACCAACCGAACGAACGAACGAACGAATGAAATTTAAAGTAATAAAACGAAATAGTATAAACATAATTACGTTTAAAAAATTTATCGTTTTCTTTTTTTGCTATTGTCAATGAATGATTTATTATTTTCTGCTATTTTCTTTTAAAAAATAAAATAAAATATATATATATTCTCCATATTTTTCAATGATTCTCTGGAGAACATCCAACGGAAAAAAAAGAAAAACAAAAACAAACAACAAAACACATCGTTCTAACGTATTTTTCCCTTTCCCCTTCCCTAAATTTTTATCATCATTATTATTTTATAAAATAAAAATACGAAATTTATAAATAAATGTAAAAAAAAAATCGATTTTACATTAACGATCGATAAATAAATAAAATCGAATAATAATAATAATAATAATAATAAAATCCGATAGTTAAATTTACTATTTGGTTAAACCGACGACGACGACGACGACGATAACATTAAAAAAAAAATAAATTATTTCCATGGGCGCCAACGTTTGAAAAAAAAAAGAGGTAAAAATTTATTGGATTCGTTTTTTTTTTTTTATTCATCATTATCATCATCATCGTAGGTAACATAATGTAAAAATAATAATAATAATAGTAGTTTCGGTTAATTTCATTCATAATTTCACTCCCCGGAAATGGAGATGAAAGAAACGTTTAAGATAAAATCTTTACACTTTGCATTTCAACAGTTTTATATATCAATTAACATATTTTAAACGTAAAAATTATTATCATTATCAGTATTATTATTATCTTTTATCTTTTTAAATTGATTTTTTTTTTTTTACCTTACCCGTTAGAAAATTGCGTCGAAAAAAAAAGAGAAAAAAAATTCAAAAACGTTTTTGACGGTTATGTGACGCGACGTCCGCCATTTGTAATCATCGTAACCGTTATTTTTTCGTAAAATAATAATTAAAAAAAGAAATAAAACTTACTCCGGGTAACTAATATTTGGTAACTGTTTGAGGTAACATCTTTGACGAAGTATTCCTTCCCATAATTGAACTCCGACAATACCAAAAATAAAAAAAACAAAAAAACAAAGAAGTAAGACGTTTCCCAGCATAGGCAAAGTATCTAATAGTAGCATTACTAGTATTCTCATACCTGTAATGAAAAAAAAATAAGTGTGTTAAGTACAAACGACAACATTTATCGTGGAAGGAGATGACGTTTCGTTTAAAATTTGGCGGGAAAATTTTTTAAAAAAAATTATCAATTATTTAATTCGCCTTCGTTTTCCATCTAAAAAAAAAAAAAATTATTTAAATAATTCGTAAAAAAACGTTAAATTTATTTACGTTTGGGTTAAAGAGAAATAAAAAAAACCGTTACTTAATAGGCGAAACAATAAAATAACAAAATGGCGTCGCTCAGGTGATTAAATTAAACGGTAATAAAAAATTTTGTTATCTTTCTCCCGAAAAAAACGAAACACATTTTATATTAAAATTAAAAACTATTATCATTTTAATACATTCATTATTATTATTATTAATATAAAGATTATTAAACGTCACATATAATAATAATAATAATAATAATAATAATAATAATAATATTAATAATAATAATAAGAATAATAGAAAATAAATTAAAATGTGAAAAGAAGAAGAGCGTTTCAAATTATTTAAAGTGTAAAAATGTTTAACATTTTTTTTTTTTTTTAATAAAACTCTTTAAAAAGTTTATTTAAAACTTTTATTAACTAATAAAAATAAAGTATTAAATAAAAAAAAACACACAACTTAATAGAATTTTAATAAGAAATTAACAATAATTAATAACTAAAAGAAAATGTTAACAAAAAAAAATTAATTAATTAATATTTACATAAGTTTAATAAGAATGAAATATTTTTAAAAATAGAAAAGGAAGGAAATAATAATAATAATAGGGAAAAAAACAAAACGAATTTCATTTAATATATACATAAAAAAAAAAAATAATAATTACATAACAAAAAAAAATAATAATTACATAACAAAAAAAAATAATAAGTAAAGATGAAACAATTTTTTTTTTTTTTAAATAGTTTTCGTAACGCAAAGCAGACATTTTGTTTTTTTAACTGAAAAACTCTTCTGCATAAAAAATATTTATAGTAATAAGGAAGTTATAAAAATTTGAATATAAAATAATTTTCGGTTTCTAAATTTTAGTTTTCGGTTTAAAATTTTAGTTTTTTTTTATAAAACAATTTAAACATTTTTGTGTATAAAAACTATTCGAATAAATTTTGATAGTTTTTTTTTTTTTTTTGGTTAAAACAAACGAATTCGACAAGAATATTTTAGAGAAATGAATTTTAATATAATTTTTTAAAACAATTTTACTTGTTGTTGTTGTTTTTTTTCTCGTTTTCTTCTTCTTCTCATCCTCCGCCCTTCCCTCCCTCCCAACCAAAAAAAAAGAAACCAAACGTTAAAAAATAAAAAAAGATGTAAAAGTTTTTTTTTCCTCTCCTCCCTTCATCATTTCCTTCGTACTTTTTTTCCATTCCAAAGATTTTCCACTTTCTCTCTCTCTCTCTCTTTTTATTTTCTTTCTTTCCTTCCAAAAAAAAACTTTTAAAATCATGCGCTGTGACCCTTTAGTGGTTGTTGTAGATTTTGTAGTTTATTGTTAATTTTCAACCGTATCTCAATTCAAACCAACCAAAATTTACAAAAACTAAAAAACTAGTTCATAATCTCAACTTTGTAAATATTCTACCTACCTTTCTACCTTTCTACAATCAATCACTTCTTAAAGTATTAAAGTGTCATTTGATATTTTCGACAAACAATGTTTTTACTTTCCCTCCTCTCCTCCTCCCTCCCTCTTCCCTCCACAACAGTCAATCAACAACCCCTCATTTTATTCATAATTTTTTTTGCTCTATGTCAAATTTTTACTTATTTTTTTCTTTTTTTTTCCTCCTCCTCCTTCTTCTTCTTTTCCGCCTCTCCATCATGCACACACCCCTTTACATTCTTCCCTTAATGCACTTACGCTACCCTCCCCCCAGCCCCTCCTTCTTTAAATTTCTATTTTCGAAAATATCATTTTAGTTTAATTTGTTGAGTTTTATTTTATCTCTTTGAAATAAATCAAACCTAGTTTAAAATTTTAAATCTCTCTTTCTCTCTCTCTCTGTCTTACTTACAAACTTTTACATAATTAATATTTCCTTCCGTTTTATTTCGACATAACGTTATAAATTTTAAATCTTAATTATTATTATTATTAATAACAGTCATAAGTTCGCTTGTTATGATGAATAAATAAATGACATTTTTTTCCCCCCCGAAATTATTATTATTATTATTATTATTATTTAAAAGAGAAAAAAAATTAACCTTATTTGTTAACAAACCATCAACCTTTTTTCGAAAGGTTATAAAAAAAAATGTTCGGTTTTTTTTTCGACGATGAATTTCCAATGATAATTAATTAAAAAAAAAAAAAAAATTATTGTTAAGAAAAAAATTTAAATTTGAATTACCCGCCAAAATTTAAAAAAAAAAAAAAAAGAAAATTCGATTTCCGTTTGTTTATTTTTACATCAAGAAATTTTCCCGCGCGTTTTAATCACGTTATTTTAGTTTTTTTCAAAAAAAAGTCGTTAAAAAAAAAGAATTAAAACACTTTTAAAAAAATGAGAAAAAATCTTAATGAAAATCGAAAAAGGAAATTTCTGTCTGACATTTGTACATTTTCTGACAAACCGGAAATTAAATTTTAAACGACAAATTATTTCAATTTAAAATCAAAGTGTCAAAAAAAAGAAGCTTTTTTCCT